ATTGGATTATTTGTTCTTTGGGTGTTGAGTTTGATAAGTTCTTTATAGATTTTGGATACTAGCCCTTTATCTGATATGTCGTTTGCAAATATTTTCTCCCATTTTGTCGGTTGTCTTTTGGTTTTGTGGACTGTTTCTTTTGCCTGCAAAAGCTTTTTATCTTGATGTCCTGAAAACCTTTTTAAAGGTGGGTGTCTGGAAACTTTTCTGTGGAAGATTGGGGAATGGGATCCTGAGACCAAGAGCTTATAATTTAAGAGTAATATGACTTAACTGTAATCCATACATACCTGTTGCTCCTGATCTGAAATGAGTGAAGAAGACACATAGATCATACACTGGAGAGAGTTCTAGATGAGATGGGTAGTGTCATGCACGCACACACACAAACTCTACCTCCCCAGTTCTCTGTCTTAGCCCACTTTCTCCGGGATCAGGAGGCTGCTTTGGGGCCCCAAGGGAAAGGAAGTCCCTTTGTTCTGTCACCAAAAATCCTGAATAGACTGTTAATGGTTTGTTTCACATTTATTCCATGAATCAGAGATTTATTTAGATTAATACACACATTTGAGAAATGTGAATGCCCCCGAGAGAATTAAGCCAATCAGTCATTGCCCATTAATGCGAATTACTTTAATCACCATGCTGAGTAGCCCAGAATAGGCTCTCAATTAATAATTTTTGAGTTAATGAAGAGGGACTGAGGGATGGGAGAGCAAAGCAATGTTGATAATGTTTCAGAGACCACCTTTGACAAATCAGACCTGTACCCGCGGTCCGGCCCTATGATATGAATGTTTTTCATTAGATGTACTGTGCAAGATCCTGTGTCTTGCAAGGCCTGCCCAAGGTCTAGAGACTTCTCTCCCAGAACGATTTGGGAAATCTTCCAGTTCTTTCCCCTCAACAAAAGAATCTGAGCAACAGTGAGGTTATAACAGGGAGATAAAGCAGGAAGAAAGGAAATAAACTGCTGTAAAAGTAAGTAAATATGGGAATAAGTGGTTTTTTTCAATTGTGAAAAAGTTATGAGGCAAGGACAAGGGAACAGGGCCCAGCCTAGAAGAAACACAATGTGACATGAAGAATTTTAAAAGAAAAAACAGGTCAGTTTTTAAAAGATTGCATTAATGGATTAATCACCTTTAAAAACTCAGGAAGGAAAAGAAATCAAGATACGAAGAAGTTTCACATGGAAAAAAAATGTCTTGTATTTTCACCTAACAAAAACTTAGTTTTGGGGGTAAAACTTTGCTCTTTGGAGTACTATAAATGTCCCATCAAAAAAAAAGCAACAACAACAATAAAAACCTTTTAATCTAAAGTACTTATACTGATGAATGTTATCTTTATTCAAACCAGTTAATAAATCAACTCATTATAGGAATTTGTGAACAATTTTTATTCTTAGTCTTACATTTATTATACTTTGTTTAACACCTTTACCTCCATCTAGTATCTTGGACTTCTCCATCCCTTTTCTCTTCAGTGACTTTCCCTTTCTCTCATCTGAGCCCCTCATTTTTGACAGTAGTCCCCTCTGACCATCAGCTCCTGTCTTTCTGTTTAGCTCCTCGAGTGCCCACACTCTGGCCATTTTTCAGCCTTTTCAGGAACCCTCAAATTTTCAATCCATCATTCCTCTCGTGTGTTCACTTGTTTCCTTATCCAGTTTTGATTCCTGATCCTTCTTTGTGATCCCCAACTTGAAGGTGTCTACCCCTTCATTCATTCCTTAGTTCCTTTCCTTTTATATGGTGCATACTTGCCTGGCAAAACCCTGTGCAACCCAATGGTGCCGCCAGACGGGACTGCAGAAAGACACACAGTGTTGCTAACCGCTTCACTTTAAATTAGCCCAAACATCCAGTGAAGCTCGCTCGTTGCTGCCCAGCAATCCCATGCTCTAAAATGACTACTTCATCCTTCTGTCTGTCTCCTCCCACCTCCACCCTCTACCTACATCCTTTTGGTCTCGGTTGATGACCTGGCCTCGTACTTTATTGAAAAAATGGAAGCATTGGACAAGAGCGCCTCCATTTTCCACCAGTGCACGGCCCACACTCTCTACCTGCCCTCCTGTTTCACTGTGTCCTTCCCTGCTTCTAGCGAGGCCAAATTGCCACTGCCTTGGGCTCTTGATTCTGCCCCAGCCCAGCCCCACACCCCCGCATGCTCTCTTTCTAGCCTTCTGCCTCTCTGCAATTAATGGCTCTATCAAGACACTTGACGCGAAACCCAGAAGTCTTCTTTACTTTTTCTCCTCCCTTCATTCCTGTGTCTAACCCATCTGCAAATCCTAAAGGCTCTACCTTCAAAAACATAATGAGAACTTGACTTCCTTTGCTACCATGCTGGTCCACCAGCTCTCTCACCGGGAGCACTGCCGTGGGCTCCAGTATTGGTTATGTTTAGGTTCAGCTGTGTATAACT